TGGAGGTCGGTGGGGCCGCCCGGGTCGTACGTAATACTTTCATTGAACGCAGACCTCCCTTCGCTAGAGCGAGCATCTGTTTCCCCGAGAAACAGGTCACCGCCGGGGACGCCAGCCCGGCCCCAGCTCTTTATCTCAGCCCTGTGAATGCGCCGCACCGCCCCCTTCCCCCGCCAGCGACACGCTTCCCAGCTCCTAAGTCCCGGCCTCCGCCTCCACCCCCGTCTCTCCCCCCGCAGCTCCGCACGCGGCGCCACACGCCTCCCGCGCCCCAGCCTCCCCGCCCCGGCCACACTCCCCTCGCCGCCTCGCGCTCCCCTTCCCGCCGGCGCTCCGGCAGCCGCTATAACGGCCGGGACCGCCCGGGCCGCGCCGCGCGCTCCGACCGAGGGCTGGGGGTGGGGGCCAACAGATTCGGGGCATTGCTCGAGGGCAGTGAGTCGTGAAAGCGGCTTTTGTTGCCCGCGCGTGCGGTTCGCGTGCCGCTCGGCGGCCTGCAGCGCCCAGTGGGGACGGGAGCTGGAAGGTCTACCGCCAACAGGCTGTGGGGACAGAGGGACAGGGAGAGGACTGAGAGACTCGGGAGGGGGACAGTGTGCAACCGTCGAAAGAAAGTCCAAAAGAGGGAGAAGAAAATACGGAGGCAGGACGGGGCCGCGACTCTTCCACGGTACTGAGCCAGCCACGCGGGCAGTCCATCCTCTCTGAGCGTGGCGGCTGCCACTGTCCTCTGGCCCCAGTTTCTCTTCCCCCTCTTCCCCTCTCAACAAAAGGCAACTCAATCCAGGCCTCTCCCCTTCCAGATCTGACTACTGGCCTGCAGTCTCCCGGGGCGGGGATGGGGGTGAGAGGGTGTGGGGACGGAGTGGGGGTAAGGGGAGTGGGCAATCTCCACCGCGGGGCGCGCCGTGGGTAGACGTTCCCCGCGCGCAGGCGGGTCGGCCCAGGGCGCCCGGAGGCTCACTGAGAGCGGGATTAAGGGTGAATTTATCAAGAGGAGAAGGAGGGAAGGAGTCTAGTTAATTCCCGCGCCGGAGTCTCTCGGCTGGCGACATACCCACATTTCCCTTCCTTGCCTGCCCAGGAACATCTGGCCCCACCAAGACTCTCCTGTGCTCCACGGGGTGTCCCAAACTGAGGAAGTTGCCGCTTCTGGGTGGGGGATCCCCTAGGCCATCCGCAGGCCTTCGGGGTAGCTGAAGCCCTTTTCCCTCTCGCCCCCAGCACCCCCTTTGAAGCTCCCCTAAGACTGAGAAGTGAGGGCCAGGGCACATCCCCGCGGGCACGGTGCGCTAGGCTGTCGGGGCAGCTGCTGGGAGAATGGCAACACTTGGTCCACCTGCGCGTGTCCTGGGACCTCCAAGTTGGGGACCGGCCCTGCAGGCTGTTACTCAGATGGCCCTCAAGTTATAACCCGTCACTTAAGATAAAGACTGTACAGGGTAAATACCAAGACTAGGCTCCTGAGAGAATTCTTCTGTACTCTTCTGCGATCCTGGCACACGTATGAGTGAAGGCAAAAGTCAAAACTTGACAGTTTTGCCCTGGAAGCTCAGCATGGTTCATGCTACGCTTTGGGCAGTGGGATCTCCCATCCCTTTATTCCTCTTTCAGACGTGCACTGGACCAGGAAGACTGCATGGCAGCCTTCTAGACACCAGGAATAATGTTAGGACCCTCTGCCCCTCCCCACCGCATCCCCCCTCCTGTTCCCAGATGCACCCAACCCCAGCCTCTCAGCCCTGACACTGTTTGCAAACTCAAGGGGCTTTTAGAGCAATTGCCTTTAAATAAGCAATTCAAGTTCACAGCATTCATTGTAAGGGGACACGGGTCTGGGAGGGGATAAGGGGTTAGTTAATGGAGGATTAGAGGAGAGTCTGATCGAGAAAGAGTGGACAGGGAAGAGATACAGCCAACTTATATATATATATATAAAATTCTGAAACATACCTTGGTGGAAACGGGTGAATAAAGAATCACCATTTAAACACACATATGGGTCCTTCAGAATTAGGAAGCTCTCTGGGTTTTGCTTGACTTGCAAGGTAGAGGGTCATATCAGTCTTTAAGGTCTGGAAAAGTAGCCATCAGCCCTTCCCAGAGTTGTACTAATGCCCTTTCTAGTAAGAGGAGTGAAAAAGACCCCTTTAGAATAGTCCCTTTGCATCCTCCCTTTGAGAAGGCTTGTCTCAACTAAGTTCCTATTTACAAGCCTGAAAGTAGGGACTACAGGGGACAAGGCAGCCTGTGGCAGGGAACCAGGGTGAGGGCCCACTTTACATCCACCCAATGACCTTGGTTAAAGGGCAGAATCTCAGCCTCAGAGAAGTCCTCTAGTTTTCATGCAAGAGAGCTCCGGAGGCCACTAAGCCAAGGACTAGCGCGATCTGAGGACGAGGGCTACAGGCAAGAGGGGTTTACGGACAGTGAGGAGTCACCAGGGTCAAGAGTAGGCGAGCGTCACGAGGGCCGGGTTGCACGGATGGTGGAGTGACCAGTACCGAATTTTGTCTACTGTTGGGGCTGGGCGTGGGCGATCCAGTTAAGGATGCTAGGGACTAGCCTCACAGCTGCGTTTAGAGATGAAGCTGTTTTAATACAGAATATATGTTGCTTAAGGGGCTGGTGGAGACTGGGAGAAGCCACCCTTTGGTGCCAATGAACAAAGCGTCTACTAAGAGGGAGAAACCAAGAGATTGACACCTTAGAGAGGGCAGGGAGTGCCCAGGAAACCAGAGCCTAGGCGAGGAGTCCAGAGGAGTCTCCGCTTCTGCTTTTCACCTTTGCCCTACTTACCGGCCCAGCGCGGGCCACTCACTCTGATCTAAAGCCAGTCGGTGTTCGCTTTCCCGCTCTCTTCTCTCCAACTCCTTCTCCCCGTCTCTCCCCCCACCTCACGCCCCTTCTCCCTTCTGCCGCCTGAAAGGGTTAATCTCTCCTGCGGGTAAAAACAGGTCCGCGGAGCCTCTAACTGGCGACAGATGGGCCACTTTCTTCTGGCCACAAAGGGGCCGGAATGGAGCGCTCCGCGGCATACAAATGGGCAGGTCACGTGGTTCCCGGCTCTTGGCTGGACTGGGAGGACCATATGGCGCATGCCGGGGAGGAAGGAGATGGGGCGGGGGTAGGGATGGGGGAGAGGCGAGCTGGAGTCGGCTGCGGGTGGGAGGGGAGCAAGGCTGAAGGGGCGGGGGCGGGAGGAGCTGGGCGGAAGGGAAGGGAGCGCGGCATCCCGGCGCGTGCGCAGGCGCGCGGCGCTGGAACCTGCTCGCCCGCTGGGCTCCTGGCCCCGCCCGCGCTCAGCATCACCAACTCGGCTATATAACCTGAGCGCCCGCGCGGCCGGGACACGAGGAATTCGCCCCACGCAGAAGGCACGGCGCCCAGAGGCCCCAGGGTTATGAGACCATCACTGCTCAGGACTTACTAACAACTGCAGGTAATTAAATCCTTTAATTTTTATTGGGAATAAAAGCAACTGAAGATGTACCTACATATTCTGTATGTGTGCGTCTGTGAGCGCGTTTATGCGTTGAGACAGGCATTCATTTTCATAATTGCAATGCGAATACGCACACAGTTTGAGGCGCATCACTCAAATACCCGCTGCAGGCATAATAATTTTAAAAAATGTTTTACTTTTTTTTTGGTTTGTTTTGTTTTTTGGAGGGGGGGAAAGTATAGGAACGTCTTTAGATTTTCTTAAAATATTTAATGCCCTATAACTCTATGGTTATTTCCTAGTGGTGATTTCAAAGTTCTGAAAGCTGATAACTACTTCAGTATTTCACTTCTAACAATAAGGGCGATAAAAAGCCCAAGTTACCAAGATTTATTTTGTAGACATGTATTTTATGCACATTGGGAGTAGCAAATTATTTTTTCAGTGAATGAAAGGGGTATTGATACTTTGAATATACACACCCTAGAAAATAAACCGGGTTGAGAGGTAGTTTAGTTGAGAGGGGATAAAATGTGGAGAAAGAGAGAGGGACCCACTCCAGCTACCTGTTACTGTCCCAGAGTCGGCCAAGTCCCCAGCAGCCACTGATTCAGTTGTCTAACTAAAGGCTTTTTATTTTCCTTATTAGAAGCAGCAACTTCGCTATTGCCATTCTCTGACCATTATAATTACTCAATCTTTTAAACGGAGGTTTGAGGCGAAGTTTGAAAAGCCCCAATAAAGAGCGGGCGGCCCTTTCAATGGGCTGTTTATTAGAGAGGAGCCTTTCGCACCTGATCCCCGGCGCGCGGAGCAGGGCTCCGCGCCGCGCCCCGGGTTCTGGCCCGGTAGCAAGCGCTTTCATACAAGGCGGAAATTCAGCAGAGGGTCAGCGGGGTGGGAGGTGAGAAAAGAAAGGCAAGGGTGTGAGGGACACCCCCCGCCCACTTTTGTTACCAAATGTTTCGTTGATGGTGAAATAATTTTGTGGAAAATACTTTTTTTCCACCATGCATTTCCTTTTCAATCTCCACTCCGTATAATCTTCTTAAATATCACTGCCAGCTTTAGTAAATTACGTAAGGGATCTTCAACTTGAATCGCCGAGTGCGGGGAGGCCAGAACCGAGATGGAAACATAATTGCAATTTTCAAACTCGTCTTTTTTTGTGGAGTTGTGACTTTGAGCTCATGCAAATAAACATGAAGTCGCCGAAATACACACTCATTTTCACACACATTATCCTACCGGATAATCACCATAAACACACACAATCACAAGGACACATACTCCAGAAGTGTACTTATGACACCTACTCTGGCTCCTCTTTGCAGCTCTGTCCTGTCTCCTACGTACCAGCGGGGCACACACAGGCCACTATAGAACTGCATTTAACTTTTCCTCGGGGGCATTCATTTTGTAATCAGCTGGTAATTCTTTTCACATGCATTTCTCTAGGGTTCGGGAGAGCTGAAGGCCTATGTAGTTTTTGAATGTAGCGTTTTTCTCCTTTTCTGTTTTCCCCTCTCCCCTGTTGAATGTAGGAAACCTAAACATGACCAAATCGTACAGCGAGAGTGGGCTGATGGGAGAGCCTCAGCCCCAGGGTCCTCCAAGCTGGACAGATGAGTGTCTTAGTTCTCAGGACGAGGAGCACGAGACGGACAAAAAGGAGGATGACCTGGAAGCCATGAACGCGGAAGAGGACTCACTGCGGAACGGGGGAGAGGAGGAGGAGGAAGATGAGGACCTGGAAGAGGAGGAAGAAGAGGAGGAGGAGGACGATGATCAAAAGCCTAAGAGACGCGGCCCCAAGAAGAAGAAGATGACGAAGGCGCGCCTCGAGCGTTTTAAGCTGAGACGCATGAAAGCCAACGCCCGGGAGCGGAACCGCATGCACGGGCTGAACGCAGCGCTGGACAACCTGCGCAAGGTGGTGCCCTGCTACTCCAAGACACAGAAGCTGTCCAAAATCGAGACACTGCGCTTGGCCAAAAACTACATCTGGGCTCTGTCGGAGATCTTGCGTTCAGGGAAAAGCCCTGACCTGGTCTCCTTTGTACAGACTCTCTGCAAGGGTTTATCCCAGCCCACCACCAACCTGGTTGCCGGCTGCCTGCAGCTCAATCCTCGAACTTTTCTGCCTGAGCAGAACCAGGACATGCCCGCGCACCTGCCGACCGCCAGCGCTTCTTTCCCTGTGCACCCCTATTCCTACCAGTCTCCGGGGCTGCCCAGCCCGCCCTACGGCACCATGGACAGCTCCCATGTCTTCCACGTCAAGCCGCCGCCTCACGCCTACAGCGCAGCGCTGGAACCTTTCTTTGAGAGCCCTCTGACTGATTGCACCAGCCCTTCCTTTGACGGACCCCTCAGCCCGCCGCTCAGCATCAATGGAAACTTCTCTTTCAAACACGAACCGTCCGCCGAGTTTGAGAAAAATTATGCCTTTACCATGCACTATCCTGCAGCGACCCTGGCAGGGGCCCAAAGCCACGGATCAGTCTTCTCCAGCGCCGCTGCCCCTCGCTGTGAGATCCCTATAGACAATATTATGTCCTTCGATAGCCATTCACATCATGAGCGAGTCATGAGTGCCCAGCTCAATGCCATCTTTCACGATTAGAGGCACGTCAGTTTCACCGTCGCTGGGAAACGAACCCACTGTGCTTACAGTGACTGTCGTGTTTACAAAAGGCAGCCCTTTGAGTATTACTGCTGCAAAGTGCAAATACTCCAAGCTTCAAGTGATATATGTATTTATTGTCGTTACTGCCTTTGGTAGAAACAGGGGATCAAAGTTCCTGTTCACTTTATGTATTATTTTCTATAGCTCTTCTATTTTAAAAAAATAATACAGTAAAGTTAAAAAATGCACCACAAATTTGGTGTAGCTGTATTCAGATCATATTAATTATCTGATCGGGATAACAAAATCACAAGCAATAATTAGGATCTATGCAATTTTTAAACTAATAATGGGCCAATTAAAATATATATAAATATATATTTTTCAACCAGCATTTTACTACTTGTTACCTTTCCCATGCTGAATTATTTTGTTGTGATTTTGTACAGAATTTTTAATGACTTTTTATAATGTGGATTTCCTATTTTAAAACCATGCAGCTTCATCAATTTTTATACATATCAGAAAAGTAGAAATTATATCTAATTTATACAAAATAATTTAACTAATTTAAACCAGCAGAAAAGTGCTTAGAAAGTTGTTGTGTTGCCTTAGCACTTCTTTCTTCTCTAATTGTTAAAGAAAATTGCACAATTTGAGCAGTTCATTTCACTTTAAAGTCGTTCTCTCTCCTTAAAATGAAAACCAGATCCATAATTCTTAAGAGAATGAATAAAAACAAGAGATGTATTCCCTATCAAAACATATCAATTCAGTACTTGCACAAGCTTGTATATACATATTATAAGCAAATGCCAACATACCCTTCTTTGAATCAAAAGCTGCTTGACTATCACATACAATTTGCACTGTTTCTTTTTAGTCTTTTACTCCTTTGCATCTCATGATTTTACAGAGAATCTGAAGCTATTGATGTTTCCAGAAAATATAAATGCATGATTTTATACATAGTCACACAACTGGTGGTTTGTCATATATTCATGTAATGAATCTGAGCCTAAATCTAATCAGGTTGTTAATGTTGGGATTTTATACCTATTGTAGTCAATTAGTACAGTAGCTTAAATAAATTCAAACCATTTAATTCATAATTAGAACAATAGCTATTGCATGTAAAATGCAGTCCAGAATAAGTGCTGTTTGAGATGTGATACTGGTACCACTGGAATCAATATGTACTGTAATCTTGTTTGTAATTCTGTATATTATGGTGTAATGCACAACTTAGAAAACACTCATCCAGTTGCAATAAAATAGTATTGAAAAATCTGAACAATTGTTGCATTTCTTCTTAAAGTGATTTTTTTTTAAGTATAAATAATTCCTATGGAGAACAATTGCTTAACTTGCTGAGTTAAAAAAATACTAAGTTCTATTTGCAGAAAAAAGTTAAAAAAGTTTAGTTTAACACAAACTCTCTAGTCTGTTTATCTTGCTTAGGGAGTCACCAACTCTTTGTAGTTAAGGAATGAACCTGATGTTTCATTACTTGGACAATGAGGCTGGGGTTGGGTAAGATTTGTGAAGAGACCAACAGTTGTATTTTTGGTTTTGGTTTCCATCCCTTTATATGAGTTTGTCTTTTCTTCTATTTTTTTCAAGGGGATTTAGTTAATTCTTAACAAGCAAGACCCAAACAATTATCCTAGCTTAGTTTATCTACATATCTAAGAACATACTAATTTTTTTTTTTTACCTTTTTCTTAGTCCTTTGCTGTCTGTACCTGAACTGAAACGTTCTCTACTGCAAAATAGTCCTATCCTAAAGAGAAAGTGATATACCTTTAGAATATGGGAGAAATGAATTGATTAAAGAATTCAAGAAGTGGCATTTTATCCTTGCTATGTAATTGTGATGATTTCAATAATTCTTCAGGAAAAAGTAGTAATGAACTACTTGTACTCAAGAACATACTATTTGTACTGTGATATGTTTTTGGATGGTCTAATTGTTTCCTCATCCCCTTTGGTGTACTAATTCTCCTGTTTCATAAATGGAACTCACTGAAAAAAACTTAGAGATGATTCTGCCCGTTGGTAAGGCCACTAGAAAAGTTAGGCATTTCTTCCCCTCTGGATGTGCTGACTGACAGGAGCAGTTTCTAGGGAACAGCATGTTGGCACTTGTGCCCTGGCTGTACTGTGGTGCTCTGATTACTGTCATTAGTGACTCCATTGTTCTTCCTCTGGTTCGGATGCCACCTTGGATGACTACCTCCCTTCCCAAGCTTGTTCCTTTAATCCCGTTCTCATTGGTGATTTAGGGGTTCCAGAAAGCTGACCTCATTTAGCACGCTGCTCCAGAAAAATGTGAGTAATCTAATGGACAGGAACAATTAGCCATACTAATAACATTGCCAACGGGGCTACATCAAGCTGTGACAGTAGCAGTAAGGAATATTTCAACATGAAAAAAATGTTTGAGTGCAATTTAAAATATATCATTTTAGCATGTTTTCCATCAGCCTTCATCACATAGCAGAAATACTTTTAAGTTAGTCCCAACTTTATCCAAAATGCAATCATCTCATTCCAAGTGAAACAGAGTTGTTATTTTGGAATCAAGCTGTTGCTTCCTATATCCAAGATTGCTTTCACTGTTCTTTCTTTAAGAGACATAATACTGAGATGATATCTGAACACTGCCAGCCTTCCAGCCTAGGAGACCATGAAGTGAACATTCAGATCTTATGTGATCTATTCAACAGCTCAGTTTCACCTGTAATGAAAATTAGACTTCTTCATGCAAACTAAAAACTGTTGCTGTAATGAACAAAAGAAATAAGAGGATGCTGTTTTAAGAATTTCCGCTTTTAAAACAGCAAGCATCGAAATCTGTGGATTGTTTTTTGTAAGGTAGGAATGAAGACTCCAAATTAGGTTTGATATTGTCCCCCCGCAATTTTATATGTATAACTTCATTCTAAGCTTAGAGATTCTTTCAGTCAGTCAAGGAGTAACTCACATGCCACCATCTTTTATTCAAAGGCAGGCACAGATGTTCCTTCTGCAGGGGAGGTTTTAATTTATGAAAATGATATTGTTTATGCATGAATGAACTGAATGCACTCTGCATATACACAGTACTTCCATCTGATCAGAGAAATACCCCAGAACCAGTGCCAATGTCAGAAACATATTCTACAAATTTACTCACTTAAATGTTTAATGAATATTTGGAAGGCATTTTCAAACCACAAGAAACCTTTTCAATTATCTTTTTCTTTTCTTTTGGAATTGCTAGGCATATTTAAAAGAGACTCTTAAAGTTTTCATAATTGGCCAATGCCTATATCTAGAAAAGAAAATGTTTTACTAAGTGAAAAGAGACCAAAAAGAAGAAACATCGGCAACTATAGCTTCATTGGGGAAAACATTTCTTTTAGTGTTGATATATATGTGTGCTTACCAGTAGTATTTAGGGTTCTGGGTGTTCCCTCATCTTGAATAATTACTATTCCCATCAAATAAGATGTTTAGATCTACTTATTTAATGTGAAAATGCTCTGATGAGTTATTTCCAGAATAAGGTGGTGTTTAAAATCAGTAGACAATTCCATAGTTGGAGATGAAATATTTTAACTAAATATTTTAACAGAATTCCTTTTGACTAGAACACTGCATAACTTAGATTTCATTTACATCATCAATGACAAATACAGTATGATCTATCTACTTTTACTCTTAAAAAGACAATAAAATATAAATTAAAATAGAGACATATCTTAGGAATGTTCTACTAAGCTTAGGTTTATAATATGTTATAGAAAATAATATTAAAGTAAATCATAAGCCTTACAATTTATTAATCTTAAAAAAACTGTTTTCACATTTGAAAGTCTATAATTCTTACAAAATTAATGCATTTCTGAAAGAAGCTAGCAATTACTAAAATGATACATGGATCATTAGCTAACAGTTTGAACCAAGCTGTTTTACTTCTATAATTAAACAAGAGATTTAAAGTGAAAATATCTATTAAACAATTAATAAGACTAGGTTTCAAAACATAGGCTGATTTCATCCTAATGGGAATCACATAATAGAGCTATTTCTTAAACTACACTAAAATCTCCTCGTTTCCTTTTCTACCACCATTACTTATTTCCTGAAAGCCATCTAAATAAAATCTTTAATTCCAGGATCTGATAAAGAATAAAAGAGCCAATGCAACATCTTGTGGAGCACCAGGACTGAGAACTCGTGTTGTTACCACGCACAGAGGCGTTCTGGCATCAGATGCATAGTGATTTGTATGGTGGCATAATCACTGGCTCCTGGCCAGGCATTATGTTTCAGAGGACTCCATTGTCAAGAACCATTCAACTAGAAATCTGCACTGTATGCACTCAAAAGTTGAGCTCATCTGCCTTCCTATGTCAGGAAGAATTCTGTGCTGGCAATTGACTCATGGACTCCCTTCACACACACAAACATTTTGTTCAATGGCTCTGATGGAATTAGCTGTGTAACCAAACTAGTGGCATCAACAAGACAAGGCAGCAGCCTCTGGGGACTTCTGTTCAAGTTGCTAATCTTCAAATATATTAAAATGCAGAGTATCATGTTAATCCTGGACTAAATCTTCAGATACATTAAATGTGATTTGTCTATCTCAACAGTATTGTGCTAATTGCCCAGCTAACTTAGAGATAGGTGGATAGTGACAGTAACCATCTTTATGAATCCCCAGGTATGGAGTAATCTAGAGGGGCTGGATTGTGAAATGACGTCTAGAGATGAGAGTAAATTTAATCTCTCATTCTTGAGGTAACTTGGTAACTTTGTTGTTTAGTTGCCAAGTCGAGTCCAACTCTTTCGCAACCCCATGGACTGTAGCCCACTAGGCTCCTCTATCTATGGATTTCCCAGGCAAGAATATGGGATTGGGTTGCCATTTCCTTCTCCAGGGCTTCCCAACCCAGAGAACAAACCTGCATCTCCTGCATTGGCAGGCAGATTCTTGACCACTGAAG